GGAGTAAAAAATAGACGGGAAAAAAATATGAAACGCAAATTTTAAATAAATTGGTTACTTTTTTGTTTTTTTTGGTTTAAAAAAACTGTGATTTTTTAACTCAAAAACATTCTTAATTGCTCAACAAAGGACAAATTTTGATCAATTTTCGTGCTTATTTTTAAAAAAATTGTGTGAAATTATTGCGATTTTAAATGGAAAATGTCCTGAAACGGTTGTAACGTTTAGTAATTTTAATTAATAATTATGTTTTACTTTTGGTTACTTTTGTATAATTATTGCGCTTTTAATTAAGTATAAAATGTGGTAAATGGTAAAACTGCTGAAATTTTGTGAATTTTTGGCTGAAAAACGTTCTGAAGTTTTTGTGCGATACAAAAATAAATTGATTAGTTTTTGGTTTATTTTAGCAATATTTTTTGAAAAAGTGCATTTTTACTTCTAAAACGTTTTCAAACGCTGAAAAAAGGCAGTAACAACACAAATTTTCACCAATTTTCATATTTTTACTTTATTTTTGGCAAAATTTTCAAAAATTATTGAGGTTTTTGTCTGGAAAATGTCCTGAAACGCTTTAAATTTGATTTAATTGTGTAGTTTTTAGGCTCAAATATGATAAAATGTTTTTAAAAATGCAAAAATAATGTCATTTTAGAACCAACTTTTTAATTTTAGTGAAATCGTGTGAAAAACTTTAATTTCATTAAATAACCCTGTCTTGGGAGTAAAAAATAGACGCGAAAAAAATATGAAACGTAAGTTTTAAATAAATTTTTTACTTTTTTGGTTTGCTTTTGCAATATTTAAAATTTAACTCAAAAACATTCTTAATCGCTCAACAAAGGACAAATTTTAATCAATTTTTGTGCTTAGTTTTGACAAAATTTTGTGAAATTATTGCGATTTTAAATAGAAAATGTGTTGAAACGTCTGAAACGCTTTAATTTTGTGGTTTTTGGGCTCAAATATGCTAAAATGTTTTTAAAAATGCAAAAATAACGTAATTTTTAAACTAATTTCTTAATATTTGAACAGTTTTAGTGAAATCTTGTGACAAACTTTTTTTTTTATTAAATAACCGTGTCTTAGTAGTAAAAAATATACAGACAGAAAAAAATATGAAATGTAAATTTTGAATAAATTTGTTACTTTTTTTGGTTTGTTTTTGCAATATTAAAAAAATTGTGCTTATTTTTGTGAAATTATTGCGATTTTAAATAGAAAATTTATTGAAACGTCTGAAAGTAATTTTAATTATTTTTGATTAATTTTGTCAAATAATTGGACTTTTAATTACAAAATGTGGTGAAACTTCTGAAGTTTTGTAAATGTTTACTGAAAAACGTTCTGAAATTTTTGTACAATACAAAAATAAATTGGTTTGTTTATGGTTTGTTTCAGCAATATTTTCTGAAAAACTGCGTTTTTACCCCAAAAACGTTTTTAAACGCTTAGTTTTTATATTAAACGCTTTAAATTTGCTTTAATTTTGTGTTTTTTTAGGCTCAAATATGCTAAAATGCATATTCTAAAACCAATTTCTTAGTTTTTAAACAATTTTAGTGAAAAAACATTTTTTTTAACTAAATAACCGTGTTTTGGGAGTAAAAAATAGACAAAAAAATATGAAACGTAAATTTTGAATAAATTGGTTACTTTTTTGGTTTGTTTTTGCCATATTTAATAAAACTGTGATTTTTAACTCAAAAACATTCTTAATCGCTCAACAAAAGACAAGTTTTTAACAATTTTTGTGGTTTTTTACAAAATTTTGTGAAATTGTGATTTTGACTACAAAATTGCTGAAACGGCTGAAGCGCTCAGTAATTTTAATTATTTTTGGGTAATTTTGTGATTTTTTGGCTAAAACGTGCTTAAATTTTTAAAATAATTTCCTAATTTTTGGATTTTTTAAAAATTATTTTCAGGTTGGTGATGCCACAACCTTGACAATTTTCACCGTCCTCCTTTTTGTCATCCCTTCGGTACCCGAATTTTGGCACATTTACGACAAAGACGAGACCAAAAGACCGACAAAAATGTCCCCAGGTTTAATAACATGGAAATTCGCCAATCAGCGAATGCATTGGAGCTTAATTTTCATAATGGGAGGAGCTTTCGCTCTTGCTGGTGCATTAGACAAGAACAAATACATCAATTATTGGGACTACGAACCTCTCACTTACCACAAACAAATCCTTGCAGTTTTGGCCTCAATTCTAGTGATGACCCAAATTATGACCAATGCAGATTTGGTGAAAATTTTCGTCCCTTTGATGACCTCCATTGGGAAGGTGAGGGAAAAAATAAGTGAAATTGTGTCTGAAATTTGTTTCAGCGTTTCAGTGATATTCCTGAAATGTATTACATGTTGCCGGTTGTTTGGTGTTGCAGTTTTGCGTTTGTACTTCCAGTGGCGACGCCGCCGAATGCCATTGTGGCCGTCATGGGGAATATCAAGACCATTGAGTTTGTTAAAATTGGAATTGTTGTCTTATTTGTGGCGATTGTGATAATGTGTGGTATTTCGTTTTTGTTGGTGCCAAAGATTTGGTGACAAAATTAAATTGATGCTTGACAAAACTGTGTTTTTTTATTTTTTCATTCGATTTTTATGCAGGATGAAATTATAAATGAATATTTTTTTTACTAGTTTTTTTGCTTTTTTTGGACTTTTAACTGCAAAATGTGTTGAAAGGCACAAAAATTTAATAATTGTACTATTTTTGATCAATTTTGTCCTTTTTTAGCTAATTGTTGACGAAATTTTGTGAAAAACAATGATTTTTTTTAGCTTAAAATTATTAGCAATAAATTTAAAATTGTTTTTTAATAATTTGATTACTTTTCGATTTTTTGAACAATATTTTTTTAAACTGTGTTTTTTTTTGGCTTATTTTTGACAAAACTTTCAGAAATTATTGGGCTTTTGACAGGAAAACCTTGAGAGATTTAATAATAACACAATTTTTGACCATTTTTAGGCTTATTTTTGAGGAAATTTGTTAATTAATTGCGTGTATGGCTGAAAAACGTGCTGAAATTTTGAAAAAATGCCAAAATAATTTTATTTTTTGAATAATTTGGTTATTTTTCGACTTATTATTGCGATATTTTTTGAAACAATTTGCTTGCCAAAGTTGTGTTTTTTTATTTTTACATTCTATTTTCATGCAGGATGAAATTTTACAGTTATTTTTGCACTTTTGACTGCAAAATGTGTTGAAACGCACAAAAAATTTAATAATTGTACAATTCGTTAAAAAACGGGCTAAAATTAAAACAAAAACTACAGTAATAATGTTATTTTTGAAGTAATTTTATAATTTTTGATCAGTTTAAGCAAAATCTTGTGAAAAACTGTTAACTTTTTTACAAAAAAGCTAAAAAAGTTTTTCTTAATAACGTGTTTTGAGATTGG